TCCCTCGTAGTCGTTTCGATCGCCTCGTGCGACAAGGGGATTAGAGTTGCAATTGTTGTTGTTGTTTTCAAACGTACGCTCGAAACGCTCGTGTCGTCTTTTGTTGCAGAGGCCACCCTCCTCGTCGCTGTCGTACCCTGGCGCGGGTGGCAACGAGGACGCGCGCAGCCCCGGAAGCGGGGGCACACCTGGACCCCTCAGCGCACAGGCGCCCGCTAGTTTGGACTCCTCGGATCCCGGTGAGTGATTCCTTTTTTTTCTTTTTTATTTAGAATGGTAGTCGAGAATTTTTATGAAAGGGAATGTAGGTAATTGTGGTGATAATCGAATCTAAAAGGGAAGTGGATATTTCTGATTTAGTGTAGTATGAATTTGGTACAATGAGAAAAGTAATTTAAAGGGTATAATATAGTGGCTGATGTTTTATTAATTTTGGTGAGGAATTTAATTTTTGTTAAACAAAAATTTTATATTACCATTCGATAGAGTAGATTTTTCGATTTGATTAAATAATTAGAATTCGAAACGAAGGGAGTTAAAAGTACGCGATGAGTAAAGATTAAGGATTAAGTAGAAGATAGAATTTTTAATTGAACAGTTTTATAAATGATGCTAGTTTCTAGCCGTATCGTAACAAGTTGATAATTTATCGTGACTTAAGTCGATGCAACATTCTATAAATCCTATCAATGGATGATAGTTTGATAATTGCCAGCGATAATAACTGAAATACCAGATCCTTGGGTAAATAAAATCTTTCATCGAAGTCCAGAAACTACCAATGAATTTACTAGCTTCCAACAATTCGATAACAGATCCCCAACTCAATTTAATCCCCTATTAAATTACCATATCTCCGTTTTTATCCACCGAGATAGTCGTTAGATTTAATCTGTCACGATTCATGGTCGCTCCGTCCGCCATTAATCGCGATCGACGTTTCCTCAAACGTTCGATAAGAGAAACATCTTAATTCATTCGTCGTAAAAATTTGAAAAATTGCCAACAACAGAGATCAATAATCTCTTCAAAAATGCAACTCGTTAAACTTAACTCAAATACACCTTAATTGAATAAATCCTTCAAATCACTTTCGCTTTCTTTTCACAATTATACACGTTGAAATCTTTCACGTCAATTTAATATCCCAACTTTCATTTCATCAACCGATTTATAAAAAAATTTATCTTGCCATAAAACTCCGCGTTTATTTATTATAAATTATCATAATATTATAAATGGAGTAAAATTAAAAAAAGAAGAGATAAGAAGAGACGAATAAGAGAGATAAACGACGAATCGCGCGATAAAAAAAAAATAAATTATTCCTCTAATCATCGGTGGATTTCCCATCGACGTTCGTCGAATGTTTATCGATCGCACGAGGATCGAAGTGGCGTGGATCGTGAGAAGGTTTCGAATGGATCGATCGGCGCGGATCGATGGACGAAACGCGGTCTCCGCGTGTACGAGATCGACGGCGTTCTTCAGGGCTTGGCGCGTTAATGACGATATCACGCGACGAGAAACGGCTTGATGACAATCAAGACGCGACTCGTCGGGACCCCACGGACCTTCTGCACGCCCTTCAAATTTTACGAACACCGACGAGCGCGCGTCAACACACTATCAAACACGCGGCAACGCCATCGTTCGGGCTAATGAGCAACTCGTCGCATTGGCGTAGCCCTCTCTTCCTTCCTTCTTTTTTTTCTTTTTCGAATCGAAATTCTATCCTCTCGAACCACGATAGAAGCCACGATGATGGATTTGAAAGATATTCGGGATTATCTTTGTCGCGTATCCGTTCCGCGATAATTTTATTCCGACGAATTTGCATGATTCTAGATTCTTCTTACCGATTAATTTACATGTCGCACCTGCTCCCTCCAAATTTTTATTACCATTTTCTAACGTCCAAAACTTCTTCCTCCGTTAAATTTAATTTATACTCGTCCTCCGACAATCTCCAACAAACTCGTCGAAAACGTTTCAACTTTCTAAAAAAACGTCTAATCTAAAAGAAAAATTCCAAAAATTTAAAAATCCTCTCGCCTATTTCCTCGGGAAATCTCTCTAAAGCCTGAACCGATTAAAGCAAACGAAAATCGACTCATTCTTAATATCAAGTTCGATGTATTTCGAACGTGTCTCGACACGGCAGAGTTGCCACGATTTTCCCTTCTGTTTGAACACGAGAAAGACGAGAGGGAATAAACGAGAATGGAGAAGCATCCCAGAAGCTGAGTGGTGTGGCGCGCCAATGGTTGGTTGGTTGGCCGGGTTCAGTCAGTCACCGGAGGGTACACAAGTTCACGACACCATCCCATAAAGATTCATTAAGATCCGCCGTCTCTATATATTCGTTGTGTCGTGGCAGCGTTATAGAGCCGCGTGGCGTGCCAGTTTTCTCTCTGTTGCACGTGTGTGTGTGTGTGTGTATCGCACGATATAAATGTGTATGTGTGCGTGTATGTGCATATTATACGTCCTCTCACTTTTACTACACCCGTGTAAGTATAATACACGCCGAAACGATTGATCAATAACAATCAAAAGCGTGCGCCACGTCGATCAAGTAGGGACGGCTCGAGGAAATCGTGTCGCGGTGTCTTTAAGCGGCGCTCTCGTTTCATCGTTCTCGATTGCGATCTGTCGTGATAACGTTGATAAGATGTTAGATCGATTTCAGTTTCAGTTTTTCTATCCCTACGTGAGGAGAGATTTCTTTTTCTAATTACATATTTTCCTGCGGATATCAAATTGGATTTCGAATGATGTTTCGCATTTTTTGGAATTTTGGAACGTTGATGTAGACTTGAATTTAAACGATTTATTTATTTACGTATGGAAAAGTATATTATAATAATTTTAATATCGGGTTTGAAATTAAGAAATTAAGAAGACTTAGATGAAAGATAATTTGTTGAAGATTTTTCTTTTGGTATCGGATAGATAATTCTAGAAACAACTGTTACGTAATATTTGACGATTCTAGTATTACCTGGAAAACTTTCACTTCGCCATTTTTATGTAGCACGGTTGTTATCGACCGTTTCGAAGATCCGTGTATTTTCTATTTAACGTCTTATTAGTACGATCAAACGATTTGAGAACTGGTATCGATGAAACAAAATTGGATTTATCATTGAATTAGTATCGACGAGAATCGGAATTGAAATTTTATTATATCAATAAGGATCGATTATCCTCTCGTGTATTTTGATAATATATAGAGAAACGAAATGATCGACAATATACACATTTTTTGGGATATTATACCCATTCGAGTTGGACCTGTTCTTATCAAATATTTCGTAACACGATCCGAAGTAGCGATATTAATATCAAGAAAATGACGAAATATCACGTTACGATACGTTACAAATTCCAAAAATCTTCGTTTCGTATCCCTCCTCTCTCCGCTCCATTCCAAACAACATATAACAACAATTTTATTCCTGATTAAAAAAAAACCTATCCAAATCTAATCGTCGAACGATTCAATTAATTGAAGTAAATAAACAACTAAATAACTAAACTCCAAACGAATTGTTCAAGCGCGAATATATGGAATAAAATGGTGAATCGGAAAGGGAAACGCTCATTATCCATCGAGTATCTTCACGTTCGCCACGATGATGTCACGGATTCTTCTCGTTAAAGGAAGAATTGCCACTCGCGTATTTGTCACAGGGCTTTAAAATTCATCGCATGATGAGAAACGTCGGCCGTTTCGTGACGAGATTTCGATCAGCCCGCGTTCACTCCCCGCGATTCGCGATTTGCGCGTACGCGCGTAGCTCTCTACGTATCCGTATTAATTAAGCGATGCTAAACGGTAACGCAACACCCGCGAAATCAAACTTTGTCTTCGCGTTCCACCGCGATCAGCACGCGAAGCATGCCCTTATCCGCGGCCGTATCTCGTACCACCTCGTCGGGGAATATAGCGATCGTTATCCCATCGTTAGCCAACAACGAAATCACAGCGATTAAAACGTTCCTCGACTCGTTGTCCAAGCCTTCCGCTGGTCTTTTCTTTTTGCGACGTCAATCGCAAGACAGGGACGGATGTAACGAAGGGGGACGAGGATAAAGAGTTATATATAGATTATTATATAAATATCATTTCACGTTTGAACTGAAAATTTAAACTCGCAAATTTTTTTTTATTCTTCTTTTTAGCTTTACTTATCCGTGAATTATGCGTATAGTTTTATAATTATTTAATTTATTCGTCTGAAAGGATGAGAAATATAAATAAATCATGAATAATTATATATTGTAAAATATCTTGTTATTTTTATCAATTTTAACATTCACTTACTTTTCTTTATTTTAATCAGAGATAATTATTCTGATCTTCGAATATGTAAATGATTTATTTATTAATTAATGTGTGAAAAGAACGAGTGAAAAGTATACTTATAATTTATTATATATTTCGTATATCTACCTTCTTGATCCGTCACTGGCGGGAGAACCGGATATCGTGGACGCGAGGATGAGAAGACACGCGGAATGGAATTCTAACGTGATGAATCGTAACCTCGAAATTACGAAAGAATTTTCACGTATATAAAAGAGGAAAATGTTTCTTCTGTTCGTGTCGAAACATGTTGCAAAAAGAGACTTTCTCCTCGATTCGCGTGCTGTTGGAGAGAGGAAGTTGTTTTCACATTGATAGGTTAATGCATCGCTCCGCAACCGAGGGAAATCGAGGGGTTGACGTGTTAACTTTTCCAAGATTAGAGGGAAATTAAATGCATCGATCAAACGTCTCTTATATTACCATTTCAATTAAACAACACTTGGAAAACTTTGCAACGACTTATTCTTAAACTGTGCGACGATTAACTTTCTAACGAATAGAATAAGAATATTGTTTCGATTCATCTTACATTTAGCTTCTTCTTATCGATCAATAATATTAAAGATAAAAACGTGCAACGTCCATACGATTGAGAATCTCTGTTCTAAATGCTGTTCAACGAATCGATTCTCCTCGGTAAACGAGGTAGCGGTCCGCATGCTATTCTCTCGTTAATCCTCAATTACAATATTGTTTATACCTCAAACGAGCTAAAGAAAGACCACAGGTCGCCTTAAATCGTCCTCCTCCGCGCGTGGAGATCGTCGCACATTCTTTGCATCCGTTTCGACAAACTTGCGAATTTTTCTTTATCGTCCGATTCTTTGGATCGTTCGGTGAGTTTAATTCGATTCTCGGTTGCCT